CATTTCCTCTTTTTAGCTCCGGATGCTTATTGGTTTCTAATCATCATTTTTTTTAAAATCCCAGACCTGCAAAAACCCAGAGACAAGAAGGCTTCGTTACATTGCGCTGCCATCTAGCGGCCGCGAGAGTTTCTGCAGGTCAGAACTGCCCTTATAAAACACGAATGTTTTTAGGATTGATATACCTTTAAAATATACACACGTGTCAAAGACCCCATGTAGGTGCTTAAAATGCAAAAAAAAAAAAAAAAAAAAAAACCACAAAACCCTCAATGCGGGAATTTGGAGCCGAAATCCAGGGCTGCCTGGAGGCAAATAGACAGGAATAACAATTGCATTGGGAAAAGGGAAAATTCAGACGTAACATGTCGTTTAAGGGCTCAGAATTGGAAACTCTGAGCTGTTGAAAACGAATTAAATAATAAACAAATAAAATAATAAGAGGTGTATGTACGACCTTCCTACACCGAGATTGAGCTTAATTAATTAATTATTAAGAAATGTTTAAAGATCCCTGATAATGTTTGTGAAATTGAAAGTGTATTAGGAAATGTTTAAAGATCCCTGATAAAATGAAAGTGGAAAAATTTCACTCTCCCCGTCGGGGAATCGAACCCCGGTCTCCCGCGTGACAGGCGGGGATACTCACCACTATACTAACGAGGAGTAGCTGCTCACAGCTTTTCTAAATGCTTCTCTCATAGCAACCCATCATTTGTAATAGAAGGATGCTGCATTGAAATTCGTTTCCTCTGTTGTCCCAGTGCATCACGTCTGTATCTTCGGGTGGCTGGGGATTTGTCTGTTTGGCTACTTTAAGCCCTGACGAAAGGATTTCTCCTTGCTTAAACATCAGCGCAAACTGCAAAATGGGGGGGAGGTTAAAGGGAGCACCCTTTGCCTTTGCTCAGAGGCACCCTTTCCACAGCTCCCCACCAGGCAGGAAAGCCCAAACTGAGATTGCCATAAAGCTGGCATTGTCCTGGCTCAGAGAGAAAAATCTTGGAAAGATCATGAGTTTTCAAGAGGCAACTGGACGTTTTGGTCTTTCTTTGAAGACGCTTCGCTTCTCCTCCAAGAAGCTTCTTCAATTCTGACCTGGATGACTGAGAATCTCCATAGACGTCACGGGTTTTGTGCCCGGAGAAAAAGAGCCGCGAATTTGCAAAGCTTTCTGACGTAATTCGGGGCTTAGAAAGCTTTCAAGGGGTCTTTTTCAGCAGAGATCAATGGAAGGTTTGACGGTGGGTGGATTCCTTTTCCTTCCTCCGGCGCTCAAATCTACATTTTGGGGCTACCTTTCATTGCACACGGAACGTGAGAACGGAAGGGTAAAGGCACTCCTTAATTTTCGTAGAAGCAGCTGCGATGGTGATGTCATAAGCCTGAGAAGGGGATGACGGGAAGCCATTTTCCAGGAAGTGGCTCGTTGGTCTAGGGGTATGATTCTCGCTTCGGGTGCGAGAGGTCCCGGGTTCAAATCCCGGACGAGCCCATTTTCATCCCCAAGGCGATTTCCCCCCCTCTTTTCTCTTTGCCGTTACTTCAGCTGTACCTTTTGCTGGTTTAAAACAAAAGGAAGTACAAAGACGCTGGAGGGAGTGGAACATGGACATTGGTTTCTGGGAAGGAAGGAAGGAAGGAAAGCACGAAGGTGGAGGAAGACAAGCACAGAAGTTGGTTTCTAAGAAGGAAGGAGAGAAGGAGAGAAGGAGGGAAAGAGAAAGGGAGGAAGAGGGGAAGGGGATAAATCGAAGCACTGGAATTATGATCTGAGTTAGCTTCAGCCATCCATTTTGGAAATTAAGGATGTGATAAGTCCACTGAGGTGTGGCTCTCAAGAGGAAGACTAGGGCAAACTTTTGGCTGGAAATATCTGGACAACCACCAGAAAGAGGTAAAAAGCTGATGCCACGATTTCTGCAGACCAAATAAGCCATATGGAATAATTCTCCTCCTCTTCCTCACATCTCTTCTCTCATATTTTAGATTTTTAAATCCTGCCTTTGCTTTTTTTTTAAATAAGTAACTGAAGGCAGCAAAGATAATATGTCACTATTAAATAGGATGGCAGTCACGCCTCAAACCTGCTGTCCTGAGGATGTTGTACAGTATGACATATATATATATGTGTGTGTTTGGGTGGGTGGGTGGGGGGAGAGTGTTTTCAGGGATGTATACATACTTACAAGCACAGATATGTATACACTTGACATGAAGGCTGGGGTAACATATGTGAAATTGCATCAGGAACTGTAATGTCTGTAACAGTTTTATGTATGGTTTATAAATAGTTTTGAAAAATGATGGTACAAGAAATCTTCAGCTTATGACCACAATTGTTTCCCCCCCGCTTCCAAATAAAATATGTTGTTCAGTGAGAAATTTGTTAGGTGAGTTTGTTCCGTTCTATGACTTTTCTACCCACATTTGTTAAGTAGAATCACTGCAATTCTTCCATTAGGAACACAGTTGTTAAGCAAATCTGGGTTCCCCATTTGACTTGCCTTGTCAGGTCACTAAAGGGGATCACATGGACACTATTATAAATGCGAGTCAGCCATCAAGCATCCGAATGTAAATCATGTGACCATGGTGGGGATGCTGTAATGGTCATATGTGTGAAAAATGGCCGTAAGTTGCTTTCCTCGGTGCTGTTGTAACTTTGAACGGTCACCAAATGAACTTGTGTGTGTACAGAACCATTGTAAATGACTAGAGGTGCACAAATTAACACTCCAGAAAATACACCCAGTTTATCATTCACCAGCTTTGCACACCAGAGGTCTTTGCTGTGCAGCTGGTTAGCACATGTGGCTGTTAAAGAAAAAGAGATTGGTCCATCTCAAGGTTCACATCTTTTACAACTTATCTTGCCATCCTGCAAACCTACTAAAATTTCATTTCTAGTTTCATGATCCTGTTGGAAGAAATATCCTTCTAGCTTCAGTTCCAATGGGGGAAGAAAGACTCTGGAAACATGGAAGCTGTTTGGAAAGATGATTTAATGGTGGACAGGATCACATGCCTTGGAGCTGATTGGTTGTCAAACTCCAATGGGGCCATGCAGGGGCAACTCTGTAGACTGTGTCCTGAGTCCCAGGCTTGGTTGAGCCTTGCTGGATGATGAAAGGGCTTTGGGATTCCAATTATGGGTCTGCCTGAAGGAGGTAGATCTTTGTTATGTAGAATAGACTGCCCCAGATTCCAATGGCCCATTAACAAAGGAGGGGAGGCTGAGTTTCTGCCTCTGAGTTTCTACTTCTCTTTTAGGGGAAACATTCTGCCTTTTTAGTATATCCTAAAATATTTCATTTTCCTAGGAGAGGGGTGGGTGCTAACTTCAAACAATCCTTTCTCAACCTTTACAAAAAATGGCTGAAATGGATTTTTGTTTCATTTTTAATGGGGTTGACAGACGAAATTCCAAAACCTGTGAGTTAGATATCATGTCACTTGGCTGAGGGAATGGCACTTTATGACATACAACTTCCTGGATGGGGATGTCTGCAAGGAAGGTGTTTTTTAAAAAAAAACTCAAGAGAATGGCCACAAAGGGGTCCCAAAGTCCCACCCCTTTTTAATGCGTGTCCTGTACTAATTTTTAATCAACTGAATGCTAAAAATATTGTTATATCACCCCTGTACTGCTGTCCTTCCTGCAAACAAGAGATTGACTTGTTTTAACCATTTCAATTTTAAAAATCCAGACACTTAGGAAGGTCTAAAGGAGGAGAGCTCCAAAATGGAGCCATTAAGTATAATAACCCCAGGGATTTAAAAATGAAATTTCTGCTAATGCATTAGCCATTTCAAAGTAGTAATATAACGGGCTGAAATTGTTTTCTTTGCCTATTTTCAAGCAACATTCCTAGTTTTTTTTTTTCAGAGGAAATTTCTAAACTACCAATGAGAAGAGATTTGAGATGGCAATTCTGTTTTCATTTCAGATTAATTTCCACAGATTTGATGTGCCCAGAACCAGGAAAAGGCTGTCAAACTGCAGATTCTTACAAGTGTATTCATATATTAGCTTCCAGTCAAACACACATAAAATTGATTTATTTCTTAAAGAGCAACAGCAGGTTACACTCAATCATCTTTTGATCAAAACCCATCCTTAACTAACCTTGGTCATTCTCTCCCTTTCTCCCAAAGTGATGCAAAAGAGAAAAATTAGGACATTAAGCATTGGATGGCGATAGTAAGTTAAATAAATGACATCTCTGAAACTGATAAGACAAAAGGGAAGAACCGCTTTTATTAGCAGAGGATGGTTTCGATCCATCGACCTCTGGGTTATGGGCCCAGCACGCTTCCGCTGCGCCACTCTGCTACTTGAAAGTAAGCTTCTTTCTACTGCAACTTGTCGTTTGTCTTTCGGGTTGTTTTTTTTTCTTCTATAAATGAAACCATTACATAAACAGGATACACACTGCATACTGAACGCAGGAAACATCCTTTTGCAACTTTGTATATATCAAAAGTATATCTTGTCCCGTTGGCGTAAGGCTTGCCAATGGCTGCTTTCCTGCATACGTTTATAGGCTTAATTAATGCTCTTGCTAGAGCTTATATTTTAACCGTGCTGTTGTAATGTAGGTACCATTTATTTTACCCCTCTAGTTTTAAAAAAAAAAAATAGTTAAAAGCTATCCCAGAAATCTTACTCCAGAAATGTCACACTGAAGTACTTAAAATAGTAAATCTTAGCACCGACTCGCTTTTTCTAGCAGGGGCAAATTAACTATGGTAAACGACGCAAACACCGTAGCTGCTTAGAAACCAGGATAAAAGCTCCAGTAATGTGGTTAACGTAGAAACAGAAAACTGACGGCAAAAAATGACTTACCAAGTTTACCCTTTGATTTTATTTTTTTAGTTTAATTTATAATTTCACGCACACCCAATACCCGGGGTTTCCTTTTGAAGTTTAAATCGTGACCAACAGCTTCTTTAAAGAAAATTTGATTGGCCCTTAAAAGGGCCTTTGTTGTTGGAATTAAGGCTTAAGTTTTCGAAGGTTTTAACCGCCGAAGCCGTAGAGGGTGCGTCCCTGGCGCTTCAAGGCGTAGACGACATCCATGGCGGTGACTGTCTTCCTCTTGGCGTGCTCGGTGTAAGTGACTGCATCGCGAATCACGTTCTCCAGAAAGACCTTCAGGACGCCGCGAGTCTCCTCGTAGATCAGGCCCGAAATGCGCTTCACGCCACCGCGGCGAGCCAGACGGCGGATAGCCGGCTTGGTGATGCCCTGGATGTTATCGCGAAGGACTTTCCGGTGCCTCTTGGCGCCTCCTTTCCCCAAGCCTTTGCCTCCTTTTCCACGTCCAGACATAGCTACAATTCACACTCTCCCTAATCAGAAAAACTATTGACTACCACCACTGCACTGGTTCCTTATATACAGAGGAATCCGACCAGAAGGAAAACTACAAGAAGGAACAGTAACCACTTTCCCGCCTTGAAGCAATGACCGGTTAATTCGATTTCGCCCAATCAGAAAAAGGTACTCGAGTTTCAAACACGCCAATCAGTACATTTTCTGTTAGCGCGAAGTAAAGTCAAGAGCGGTGAGGTTTTTTTCTTCTTTTGGAAAATTCATTTATTTGAGAGTTGCCGTTTAATATGCTTTTTATAATATTTCCAAGACATGAGCAGCTGAAAAAAAGCCCATAGATCGCAACTCAGAATCGATCTTGAATTCTTCAATAACTGACAAAATAAACATACACCTATTTCTTCCTAGATAGCTATGAATGGGACTGGAATTTATCTTTTATATTCCCTGAATATGGTTCCCATATTAAAGTATTAAATCAGTATAGCTTTTAAAACGGCAAATTTCCACCAGGAAAAAAAAATCAAAACTTTGGACAAAGAGCCCTAAATTTCCATATTTGAGAGAAATGCTAATTTTTTTTAAAAAAAATTACAACATATTACAAAGTAAACCATTGTATTACTTTACATGTAAATAGGGCTTGGATTCGAGGGGAAACTTTTTTCTGGCATGTGATGTGGATGATCCCACTAGAAAAAAAACACTCAGAAAATAGATCTACTTTGCTCTACATACATCTATCTCTATTTTTCTCCTGGCTTTATTCATTTTGCCTGCCAAAACACTGAATTAAGAGATGCTTATATTCTCCTCCTTTTACAAAGTAACCAGGGGGAAGGAAATATATACATTTTATTAGAGGCAAAATGAAAAAGAAATGGTTTATTACCATGTCTCTATTAGATTCTAATTTTTTAAAAAGCTGCAAATTGTTCTGCTGATAGAGTAGCCAAGAAACAGAAAGGTTAATAATATATCTGGTTGTTGTATATGCTTCGTAATATTCAGAAGTTCCAATTTATGTTAGTGTGTGTTGCCAGTGGTTTTTGTTATAAGGTTTTTCTAACTGTCTTGATTTTCAGTAGTTAAATTATATTTATTTTGAAGTTTTATTTCTTGTCCCTTTCTTGTGACTCGTTTTCTGTGTAGCATTACTAATCAATTGGTATTTGTATATCAAATTTGTTCACGCATACAGTATGTATATATAATGTGATTTTTTATAGCTTATTCATACCTCCTAAAGTAATAAAGCCTTTTTATATACTGCATGCAGTTTTATTCTGTGTGCTTTAGAGTTTATTACTAGATTATACTACAGACCCTACAGATTCAGAAATATTCAGCCGCAGAGGAACCATTTTGAAGAAAAAGTAAAACAAATGGATGCTAAATATACCAGCAATTCCTATCCTTATTTTATTGCAACTCTTAGAATGCAAGCTCATTGTATGAATTCTATTCAGTAAGGAAAACTGCTTTCTCGATGCTTTTTCCATGCATTGATGTACAGACAATATTTTCTATACTTCCTTCTGAACTTTGATTGGAACTTTGTGCATTTTTGTTTACTTCACGTCTGCACATGTCTACTTCACATCTACACAGATGCTTTACTTTCCACACTATGTGTGTTGTGCAACACAGAACAAAATGAATAGTAATGCAGAGAAGGACAGAAACAAATGAACAACAAAAAAAAGTGAAATGACGTGACAAGGCTTAGCTGGCTTATGTAAGGAAGGATACATATTAGCAACCTATTCTTGGATGCAAGACACTTAATATCTTTTTGAAAGTTTGAGCTCTTTTTTGAGAAAGTAGGTGGCATTTTACATGGGGGAGTCTAAACTGTAAGACAATATTAAAACAACTCAAGTGGGTCCCCCCTTTTTTCAAAGGGGGATCAAAGTCTTGTACCCTATGACTATCATTAAGTGTTTCACCTTATGATTCTCAACTCTTGACGAATGTATCTTTTCTTTTATGTATACTGAGAGTATTTACACAAAGACAAATTCCTTGTGTGTCCAATCACACTTGGCCAATAAAGTATTCTATTCTATCTTCAGGCAGCACAATTTGACAGAATAGTTTCCTATATTCCAGCCTATTTGCTAACTTTAAGCAAAGATTGTGCTAACTAAATACCCTTTGCATGATACAAGCAGTTTCAGGGCTGCCCAAGACAAGGGAAAACTGAAGTGGATGGACCTTATCAGCTAGGAGGAAATACAAGGCGGCTTCACAAAAATCTTATTTAAAATGGAAATTAAGAGGCTCATATACGTCTTGGCAGAATTTTTAAAAAGCTCACTTTTAAAGGGAATTCTTTCTGCCTTCTTTAGAGTCCAAAAACTAACTTTGACTGAAAGAACTTTTTTAATAATTTGTTAGGGAGAAAACTAGAGACAACTTTCCACAAACCTAAACTTTCGGGAACCTGGAAATATTTAGGGCCCTTGGGAAAAGTAGTAAAGCCACTTTTGCTCATGAAAAAGAGCTAAATGAATGACATCATCTTTTGGATTTAATTACTGAGTGAAATATCTATAAAGAACAGCACCTTTTGAGGTTTGCAGGGTGCTGAAAAAAATCAAATCCTGCCACAGGAAAAAAACCCACTAAGCAACATTAAACAACTCAAATTTGGCTTCTTCCCCCCCTTCCCTTTTCAGAAGGGGAACCAAATCTTGAGGCAGCACAATTTGGAAGAATATTTTTGCTACATACCAGTGAGGAAAGGAAAAAAGAATCTAACTTCCAACACCAGTCTACTTGATAACTTTATGCAGATTGTGAACTGTGTTTGCATGATACTAGCATTTTGAGGACTTTAAGACAAAGGGAAAATCAGAAGTGGATCTTATCAGCCAGGAGGAAATGCAAGGCAGCCCCCCAAAAATCTTAATTTAAAATGCAAGTCCCATCAACCTTGGTAGAAGAGCCCTCCCGCCTCCCCCTTTTCCCGCCCTAAAATAAGTCACGATTTAGGTATGAACTGGAATGTAGCTATGTACATAGCACTTATTTTTTCTCCTGAAGTAAAAAAGCAAAGAGAACAGCTCTTTCGTTGAGAAAGTGGGTGGCTCTTAAAAGAGCCTTTGGGTGTTTGCTCTGGGAAAACAACTTTACTTGGAGCTGGTGTATTTGGTGACGGCCTTGGTGCCCTCGGAGACGGCATGTTTGGCCAACTCTCCCGGCAGAAGGAGACGTACAGCCGTCTGGATCTCCCGGGAGGTGATGGTGGAGCGCTTGTTGTAGTGGGCCAGGCGGGAAGCCTCGGCCGCGATGCGCTCGAAGATGTCGTTGACGAAGGAGTTCATAATGCTCATGGCCTTGGAGGAGATGCCAGTGTCAGGGTGGACCTGCTTCAGCACCTTGTAGACGTAGATGGAGTAGCTCTCCTTGCGGCTCTTCTTGCGCTTCTTGTCTCCCTTCTTCTGAGTCTTGGTGATGGCTTTCTTGGAGCCCTTCTTGGGCACGGGAGCGGATTTAGCCGGCTCGGGCATCTTGCTAAAGACAGCACTTCAAGCGGGAAACAATAATAAGAAAGAGGAAACTAGAAAGCGATCTCGGGTGACAACCCTGCCGCTCTATTTATTCAACTCGTGAGAAGGATGAAAACTTTGGCGTCCCGCGATTGGCCGCTTTTCGGAGGTCTAACTGAACAATGGCACTGACACGCCTTTGCTTTTTCATTGGATGCGAAGAAGGTGCCGTTCGTTCATTGGCCGCGCCGCTTCGTTTCTGGCGCCGGCCAATAGGAAGCGCCGATTTGAATCTCGGTGAGAAAATAAAAAGGTAGCGGGAGCCTTTCTTGAGCCATTATCTTTTTAGCCTGCTCGGGTTAGAAAAAGCTGATTGTTTTTTTGCAAGGAAAAGGAAAAGGAAGTATGTCTGGACGCGGCAAGCAAGGAGGCAAAGCCAGAGCTAAGGCCAAGACTCGCTCTTCCCGCGCCGGGCTCCAGTTCCCCGTGGGCCGTGTGCATCGGCTGCTTCGCAAGGGCAACTACGCGGAGAGAGTCGGAGCCGGGGCGCCCGTCTACCTGGCTGCCGTGCTGGAGTACCTGACGGCCGAAATCCTGGAGCTGGCGGGCAACGCGGCCCGGGACAACAAGAAGACGCGTATCATCCCGCGCCACTTGCAGCTGGCCATCCGCAACGACGAGGAGCTGAACAAACTGCTGGGCAAAGTGACCATCGCTCAGGGAGGCGTCTTGCCCAACATCCAGGCCGTCCTGCTGCCCAAGAAGACCGAGAGCCACAAGGCCAAAGGGAAGTAGAGCCCGCCCGCCCGCCCGCCTGCTCCCTCTCGGCTGTTAAGAACGACACCCAAAGGCTCTTTTAAGAGCCACCCACCTTTTCCTGGAAAGAGCTTGGGTCAACTTATTTTATTTTTACTTAGTTTGTCAAGCATGTATGAGAAAACAACTAAGTATGAACATAATACATATAAGTATACACAATAAATGGGAACAGTAGGCACTCTGATGCACGTATGGACGCCCCCTTACAGACCTCTTGGGAATGGGGTGAGGTCCACGGTAGACAGTTTAACGTTAAAGTTTTGGGGTTTTGAGAATGTAACAAGTTTGGTAGTTCCAGGCGCTGACTACTTGCTGAAATTGTATTTTCTGCAATCGAGTTTGGAGCGGTTTACTTTGAGTTTGTATCTGTTTGCCCCTGTGTTATTGCGGTTGAAGCTGAAGTAGTTATTGACCGGATGTCGTAGCAGACTAAATTTGTGTACTAAGCTTAGATCAGACCTTAGGCGGCGTAGTTCTAGGTTGTCTAGATCCAAATTTCAAGTCTAGTAGCATAAGATATTCTATTGCAAGCAAAGGAGTGGATGATTCTTCCCTCGTCTCCCTTAAATAAACCGAGCACTTAATTTAAACTTGAAAAACTCACTTCATGTTTGCGCTAGTCTAAACCGGAGTCTGAATTGGGATCCTTTGGTTATTGGCCTGGGGGAGAATGTAGCTTTCAAAAGCCTGGAGACCTGGAGGATTTAGCTGGGCTAAATCCCTTCCATCTTTAGGTTTTAGAGTAATTCAATCACACGCTTTTGGTTCAAAATGCTTTTTCAGGGGGCAACTGGATGTTGTTTTCTTTTGAAGACATTTAACTTCTCTTCCAAGAAGCTTCCTCAGCTCTGACAGGATGGTGGGGAAGGGAAGGATTTATACTCCTTGCAGACAGCTGGTCATTTGCATCCTGAAGCACTTGGAGGTTTATCTGTGTCCTCAGGGTCACCCTAGTGCTAATGGTTCCTGCAGTCTGCAATTTTTCCTCTGGAAATCCATTCCTATTCCCGCACCATCCAGAGGGTGTTCATCCCAAATTGTATAACTGAAAGTCTGTAGAGATTCCCAGTCCTCCAGGTCATGGTTGTCCCAAAGGTTTTTTTATTTTATTTATTTACTTTCTTGTTTTTATCTTTTGAAGACATTTCGCTTCTCATCCAAGAAGTTTTTTCAGCTGTGGAGAAGTCCACTTGCCTCGTTAGAAAGCACTTTGGGACAACTATGACCTGGAGGACTGAGAATCTCTACAGACATTTCTTTCAGAAGTTTCTCTAAACTCCGCAACTTTAATGAACATGTCCCCCCGGAATTACTAAATTTTTATTAATGATTAAAATATTTCTCAAATTCGGCAGCCTTAAGACGTCTTAAGAAATGTTTTAAATGTCGGTAGGTCCTTATTGGCGTGTTTTGCACATACGGGATTGCAATCGACCGCTGGACTGAATTTGCAATCTTTGTATTTAAATTGTATCCGGCAGAATTTCATAAGGGCTTTGAGACCAGCACTAACAAACCGAGATACTATGCTCTGCTAAGGGAGCCCACACTAACGCAACAACGTTGCAAAGGGAACAAGTGCTACAATCTGGTTACAAAAATATGTCGGTGTATCTTAAGTTTTACAGTACTAGTTTAAAGACCATTAATATGCTTAAAATGTAACAGTTCTATCAGGGAAAAAGAGAAACCAACAAAACCACAGCTGCCGAAATAGCTCAGTTGGGAGAGCGTTAGACTGAAGATCTAAAGGTCCCTGGTTCGATCCCGGGTTTCGGCAGAAGCTGCTTTTTGGTCCTTTCTCTATCGGAAAAACAAAAACAGTCAAAACATGACAAATTCGCATGTGTTGGGCTGCCTATTTTAAAACGAGATATAAAAGCGGGCAAACCCAGCACTTTGCATATTTGAGAGCTTTGTAATACCTGCTCTAAGATGTTTTCTAAAGATATTATATTTGCTTTGTTTCTTAATATTTATTGTCAAAAAGAGTGGCAAAGCCAGCTTTCCTTTATATGAACAATAAAAAGATGATGTTTCCAAACATGTAATCAGAAGCATATCATTTCAAAAAGCAAAATGGGGGGAGGAATATTTGAGTGGGATCCATCGCTCTTTCTCATATCAGCCTGTCCCATCATATAGAAAATTTATTTCCGGCTTACAGCATCCATCAAATCAAGCTTATTAGTCAAAGACCAGAGCCCAGAACAAATAAAAACACTCAATAAATATCCAGTTCAAAAGTCTGGAATAAAATAATGTCTTCTTCAAGGATGAAGGCAATGCCTAACCTCCAACTGCTAATAACCTAATTCACAACCTTGCTGAATTCTGTTGGGGGAGAAACAACACCCCCCCACACACACATCAAAGCTGTTTCTTCATCCATATTATGGCCGGAGTGGACTTCAAATAATTTAAGAACCGGTTCTCTGTCCAGTTGCTGGGTGGGTGTGGCCATGGTGAGCATGGCCTAGTCAGCCTCCTGGGCCACCCAGGAGCAAAAATGGACCACAAGGTGTGTGTGTGTGTGGGGGGGGGTGTTTCCAGCCTCCCCGGCCTCTGGGGGCTCTCTGAAGGCTAGAAATGGGCTTGTTTCCTTCTGGAACTTCCAGGAGGCCTGTTTTTTGCCCTCCCCAGGCTCCAGAGGCTTTCCTTGAACCTTTGGGAGGGCAAAAACGGCCTCCCCAAGTTCTGGAGGCCAGAAATCCCCAAAATGCAATGTGTCTGTGTCCCCCATGCATATGCATGTGTCCCTGGGCATGTGCCCCACACATACTCCCCACCCCTCCACACATGCATGTGCCTCCCTGTGCACGCGCCATGAATCCCCACGCAAACGTCCCACGTCCCCCACATGCCCCCCCGCCCCCTGTGCATGTGCAGCTGAGTCAAGCTGGCTGGTGGGAGGCACATGCATGCATGGCAGTTGAGCTGGGGTGACAGCTCACATGCCCTCAGAGAAAGCTCTGCATGCCACCTCTGGCATGCGTGCCATAGCTTCACCATTGCGAGACTAGAGTGAATAATTCTTCTCTCAGTCGGAAAAAAAAACATCTACTTGTGGGCTGCGCGGACTCCAACACTGCTTCACCGTACTTCATCCTCACCCTGCCCCCCCTGCTTCCCAATCTGCTTCGCTGCCCTGGAACCACCACCCCTTTTAACGAGCCTCTTGGTTGGTTAGGAGTTACTTGCAGGGAGTAATGCAAAATCCACAGGATTTTGTCTGGAGGGGGAGGGTAGATGTTAACTTAATGTTTAGGTGAGGGGCCCACATTAGTCTTGTTCCAGCACTTAAATAATCCTCTCGGGGCCCCTGGGTCATGCCATCTTTTTACAAAGAGCGATTCTGTCCATACCTGGAAGGCCAAAGTCTTATCTCCAATCAAGTTACAGGTAGTCCTCAACTTACAACCATTTGTTTAGCGACTGCCTGAAGTTACAGTGGTAGTGAAACAAGTGACTTATAACCGTTTTTCAGGCTTACAGCGGTCACAGCATCCTGAGGGTCACGTGATCAAAATTCAGATGCTTGGCAACTGGTTCATATTTAGAATAGGATAGGATAAGAGAATTACGGTTAGGGAGTAATTTGGACTGCAGGGGGAAAAAAACAATTACTACCAACCTGCCTTCAGTTGAGGACCTGTGTACTGCACAAGTCAGAGGGCTGTGAAAATAGTATCTACAGACCCCTCACATCCCAGACATAAACTGTTTCAACTCCTACCCTGAAAATGATGCTATAGAGCACTGCACATCAGAACAACTAGACACAAGACCAGTTTTTTCCCAAAAGCCATCACTCTGCTAAACAAATAACTCCCTCAATACTGTTCAACTATTTACAGTCTGCATTACTATTAATCTTCTCCTTATCGCCCATCCCCTCCCACTTGTGACTGTATGACTGTAACTTTGTTGCTTGTATCCTTACAATTTATATTGACTGTTTCCTAGTATGATTGCTTATTATACTCTATGACTATTAAGAGTTGGACCTGATGATTCTTGACTCTTGATGAATGTATCTTTTCTTTTATGTATACCAAGAGCCTATGCACCAAGACAAATTCTTTGTGTGTCCAATCACACTTGGCCAATAAAAAATTCTGTTCTGTTCTGTTGTTTTGTTATTCTGTTCTGTTCTAACTCTAACTCTAATTTTATTCTACTTATGATGGTTGCAGTCTCCCAGGGTCATGGGATCCACTTTTGCAACCTTCTGACAAGCAAACTCAATGGGGAAGCCAGATTCCCTTAACAACATCGAGAAAGATCGTAAAATGGGCCCAAATTCACTTAACAATTGTCTAGCTTAGCCTCAATTGTGGTCATAAGTTGAGGTCTTACCTGTACCTTATATATTGCCCTGTGTGGTGGTCTCTCATGAATGAAAACACTGGTGGCCTCTCATGAATGAAAACACTGAGACGACGCCATGAAGCAAGATCGGGATGAGAGCACAAAGCAGACTCTGACACCCTCTTTTATTAGAAGCAATCCTTGTAACAATTTTGTTAGTGTCTTGTCACAAACGCATTACATCACACAAAATGCACTGATTATTCGTGTAAGCATACAAAGCTGTAAAGTTTAAGTTTGCTACAATTCTGGGTAAGAAATGGCAACATTCTGACCTTGTTCCTTGCTTCGTGTTACAGTCAACTACCAGAAGGCCCGTTGTCCTTGCACGTACGCAAAGAACAAATAATAATTCCCACAGTCCTGTGATTGATTTGCATCTTTCCATTAATACCTGGCAGACAGGCTGATTATACAAGCTAAATCTACATAATAGATCTTCCTGTTTATTTTTCGGAAGCCTGAGACTACACAGTTCCACCTGTTAACCCCAAACAAATAATGATTTCCTTCTTGTCATTATTGTTCTGTGCCTACTGGACACCCAGTCCTAATGTATATAAACTTTGCTGATGTCTAAACTGAGGGGAAAACATTGCAAAGCTCTAAAATTTGCCCAATGAAAGCAACCCTTTTGTGGGTTATTTTCAGAAGACTTCTCCAGTATCTGGCCTCACCTGGCTACTTAGGGTAGTATCCTGACACTGTAAATATGTTCCATATATTCTTAATAACCCTTTTTCAAGACTGATTACTTTCCAGGCATCTTAGTTTTTCTTATTCATTGCTATCTGTTCTCGAAGTTCTAAATTAAGCATTGTAAAAAGTTAGCACCCATCCCTCTCCTAGAAGAATGAAATATTTTGAGAAATGTTAAAAAGGCAGAATATTATGTTTCCCTTAAGGGAGAAATGGAGAAACATACTCTTGGTAGACAGAAAGCAGCTCCCACCTTCCTTAATACCCTTCAGCAGATGTCAGCACTTAAGATATAAAGAGATAGATAGCTCTATTCATAGGCAAAGCAAATACTGCAGGCAGAAATCCATTCAAGACAGGATATTTTGAAACTCCCTCAGTGAGGTCTGAACAAAGGTAAACCTCAGCCACAACAGGAATTGTCCAATACCCTTTCAGTTGCACCACCCCCAGCATACTTCAACCAGAATTAGCTCAAACATAGGATTTGTACTTTGCCTATAGATCCAGCTATGACCCTTACATGGCCCCATGGAATCTGACAACAGCCAATAGAATATATGTTCTTGCACAGGAACAGGAAGCTCAAGTGCAAAGCCCAAAAGAAGGTATAACACCCCCCACACACACACACACACACTCAACTCCATGTGGTCGGTTGCCCAGAACCACCCCATGTCATTCTGCTTTATTATTAAACCATCTTTCCAATCAGCCTTTAACCTCCATTTTGTCTCCAGTGCCTTTCTCATACCTTGGAACTAACCAGATGGATATTTCTTCCAACAGCATCCACGCACAGATTAAAGGCAACAAGTGTATGTAATTACAGCCCACCATCCCCCATCTTAGGAAAGCTAACTAAAGATATTACATTTGAATAGCAACAAAGAAATTCATTCGAGACTCAGATAAGCTTCCTTATGATGGCACAGTGGTTAGACTGCAGCACTACTGCAGGCTACTTCTGCTGACTGTTGGCTGCCTGCAATTTGGCATTTCAAATCCCACCAGGCTCAAACTGGACTCATCCTTCCATCCTTCCGAGGTTGGTAAAATGAGGACCTGGATTGTTGGGGGCAAAATGCTGACTCTGTAAACTGCTTAGAGGGGGCTGTAAAGCACTATGAAGCAGTATATAAGTCTAAGTGCTATTGCTTAAAAAAAAAAGACATCTCCAATGGCACGGAAAAAATATTTTAAATATTTTAAATATTAATTGATTGGTATGCAATATTTAAAAGATTTTAAAGATCAACTGACTGCAATTGTTCAGATGCCCTAAGGATATTTTATTAAAGTGGCTTGTTTCATTCTGAGATTTCACAATGGTGATTAAACAAGCCTTTCCTGAAAATTGTCCCAAAAACAATTCACACACAACATTAAACTCAAACCAAACCTTATTTTAGAGTAAGCCTAACCAATGTCTACAGGTAGTCCGCGGGTTACAGTGGCACTTAGGATAGGAACTGAACTTTGATCATAAAGCACAGCGCCACAAGAACATGCTGCTTAATGACAGCAATTCCAACAGTCCCAATTGCTCTTGTTAAGCAAGGACAGCGTGAGTCAATAAGTGAGGACCTCACGCAATTAACTTCTGACTTCCTGCTGGCTTCCCCAATGACTGCTCTTGGGAAATGTTGGAAATCACAATCACAGCATTGTGGCTTTCCGTGATCGCGATCATAGGGATCCTGCAACAGCCAGAACTCTGGGGACCAGTTGAAGGTACTGCCATCCTAACTTTGAACAGTTGCTGAATGAATATTTGGAACCTGAAGGCTACTTGTATTATGGATGACTTTTCAAAATTACTTTTTTTAAGGAAGATAAGAGGTAAGGCAAGCTCTCAGCCTTCTTTCAAAAGGTGTTACAGAAGCCTCCTCACTCTGTTTCGAGAATTTTATCAGCCGAGTACTGAAAATACAGAAACTGCACTTCCACTGGTGAAATGGGGAAGATACTGCCACACTACCACCAATATAAATGTAAGAGTCTCAGACCAGAAGAAGTATAGTTGATTCCAAAGGTGTAAAAAGGTTAAATCAGAGCAACCGGATCAAAGCTTGTTAAACTGAGATGTTTCGTTACTCATCCAAGTAACTTCTTCGGTCAAAATTGAAAAAAAAAAAGTTAGGTGGAGAATCGAAAAGTAGTTGGAACGTACTAACTCTTGTTACTTGGATGAGTAACGAAACGTCTCAGTTTAACCACCTTTTGGTCCAGTTGCCATGATTTAACCTTAAGATACTTTTGGCCTGGATGATTGAGTCTTCATTACGCATTGAAAAACATTTTGGGGAGAAACTCTTGCAGTTTGTATGGCAAGAGTTAGTACATTCCAACAACTATTTAAAAAAAAAACGACTCAAAAATTACTTGGATGAGTAATGAAGTATCTGTTTAACAAACTTCGGTCCAGTTGCCATGATTTAACCATTATTAGATACTTTTGGCCTGGGTGACTGAGGCTTCATTTACTGATTCAGAGGTGCCATTTGGAACCTCCAATCAATTTTAACAAGTGTTAAGAATCTCTATAAGGTACAAGAAGACAGTTATTCCGGCTGTAACGAATGAATAAGGGTATGCCACTGTAGCGATCCACGTCCAGATGTTTTCATCACTTGTCCTCCTGCTCTTCATCCAGTCTTAGAAGGTCATCTTCCTCTTCCACACTCAGGTCCTCTCTTGGGCCCAGGGGACTCTGGGAAGAAAGATCTCCAAGGGAGAGCTTCCAATCTTGTGGGATGAGGTGGCGGTTCCTACGGATGAACGTGAACATTGTAACATTGGCTGGGGAGAGGTTCTTGGCGTGGTCTCTTGGCCCCAATGAACTGGGAGCACTGCAGGGTTCTTCAGAGGATGACGAAGATGTGGGTGGGCACCCAAAGTGGAACACAGCTACCTTGAAGAGAGACGGCCACGTCGCCATCTTCCCTTGCCAGTACAGCATTGGGTCCGCATTTTCTCCGATATGGTCCACATTGTCATGGAGATACTCTTCCATTTCCCGAAGGGCTACAGCTGCTCCTCCTTCAGAAGCCAAACTGGACGCAGGATCACTTTTGGTGATGGCCCTCCAGCGTTTCATGGTGAACTCCCAAGCCGCTGAGCTGCCAGAACTGGCATTTTGTTCTTGAGAAGAGCAGCTGACGGGTGAGAACTCCATATCTGTTCCTCCAGGAGGCACGTAGGACCTGGTGGCCAAGCCAACGATATGCTCCTTCAGCAGGGCTGCATCACTCAGGTCTGTCCCACCAAGCTTCATGGTGGTGATGTCTCTGAATCGGGGGTCAAGGAAGGCTGCGATCCGATACATCATACTGTCCTTTATTTCTCTCAGCTGATTGTCAGCCTCAAGACAGTCCAACGCCTGCGTGGTCAGGTGAGCTGCAGTATTATTATTTTCTTGGTAGTATCTGGTCCTCAACGCCCTGAGTTGCTCCTCCAAGAACCATAGGAGAGGGAGGGCTTGGCAGAGAGTTGCGTCAGGCTGAATAAGCAGCGCAGTGGCATCCTCAAATGGCTTCAAGATCTCCACCAAGCACTTCATCACCTTCCAGTCTGCAGGTGCCAAGAGCAGGTGGGAATCATCTTCGTCTTCATCCAGCATGGCCCCGATGGCTCGGCGCTGCCTATACAGGCACTCCAACATTAGCAAGGTGGAATTGGACCTCGCTTGAGCGCTTGGCCCCGGAGGCTGAGGCAAGCCCAAGTTGGCCTGCACTTCCAGGAGACGCTGTCGGACGGTGGCCGAGCGACGGTAACAGCTGCAGATCCTCCTGGAAGTCTTCAGGAGACGTCCGACTTGAGAATCCCTGGCTAAAAATGCTTTGGTGACCAGCTTCAGACAACGGGCCAGGCAAGGAGCGTGGTTGAGGCGCAGTTCTCGCACCGCCCTTGCTATGTTGGTTCCACTGTCGGCCACTACGCTGCCTGTCTTCAGATCATACAGCCAATCCTGGAGGACTTCTTGCAGTTTGTGGCAGATGTCTTCTGGGGCACAGCAGCCTTCAAAGGTGCACACCGACAGAGTGGCATGTTGCCTGGCAAGGGTGCCTGCTAAGTCTGCAATCCAGTGTCCTGTCACTGACATGTACGTGGCTGTTTGCCTGTCTCCCCAGGTGTCTATTGTGATATGGACTGTGCGGCCGACGCTGCAGGCCACGGTTTGCCGTACGGCCCGGGACACCACTTTGGATAACTCAGGCACTGCCTTGGTGGTGAAGAACGCCTGACTAGGGATCATCCAACGAGGCTGGGCAGTGGCCATCAGCCGACGAAATCCTTCGCTCTCCACCCAGGAGAAGGGCTGCATGTCCACCGCGAGCATCCAAGCGGTACTGGAAGCCAACTGGATGGCTGTTGGGTGGGTTGGAGGGTAGTAGGGTTGGTTACTCTCTGGCTGGGCAAATGGGAAGATTGGAGGAGATGGCTCAGTGACCAGCATGGGAGTGCTGTGGGACTTCTCCTTCAGGGGCATCAGCAGGGATGGAGGAACCACTGCGACGCCTGGCAGGTGAAGTCCATGGTGGACTTTCAAGTGCTTATGAAGGGCTGTGGTGCCTGGTCGGGTGCCTCCATCCTTCCCTCTCCTCACCCGTTTCTGGCACGCACTACAAACAGCCACGCAGGGTTCCCGTGGGTCCAGAGTGAAGTAATCCCAAACTGCTGAGGTGGTTTTCTTCTGCACATATGGTGGGACTCCATCCGTTAATACCGCCTGGTCATGGCCCCGTTTGGAGGGAGCTGAAGTAGAGAGGTGGGCTATGGGGGTGAAGTAATGGAACATTTTCTTTCCTCCCGGAAGGATGGACCTGCCCAGCGTAGCTGTAGATGCATAGGCTGGTAGAACGGAAGGGGGAGCAGGGAGTGGAAGAATACGCGGTGGAGACAGAGACGCTATGTCGGCCACCTCTTCCTCCTCCTCTTCCTCCTTTTTTAAGTAGGAAAGCATCTCATGGACTTCGGAAGGGCAGTGCTGCTTCACCATCATTGAGACAGAAGGGCTGGGTGAAAAGTTCTGAAGGTCAGCAGCGTCCACCTGTTCCTCTTCCTCCTCTTCTTTTTCCTTCAAATAGGAGAACAGGTCATGCACCGAGGACAGGTAGGGCTTCTCCTCTTTCACCCCTGGCTCCAGCGAACCAGTGGGAGCAACCACCATGTCCAAAGGCTCATCAGATACTCCTCCTTCCATCGCTTGAGAGAAAGGGGACCGCTGAAGAGAGACAGGTAGAGTCCTCCTGTTGAACGCTGCAAGTTGGAGTCGTCTCCCCCGGCCACGTCGTGGCATCATGGTGGAATCCTGCAATGGGAAACCCAGAGACAGAATATTTATGATGTTTCTGCAGCCTCAAATCCAGCTGTTTCCTTTATTACACAGGTCCCCAAACTTGGCAACTTTCAGACTTGTGGACTTCAATTCCCAGAATTCTCCAGCCAGGTATGCTGGCTGGAGAAGTCTGGGAGTTGAAGTCCACAAGTCTTAAAATTGCCAAGTTTGGAGACCTTATCAGAAAGAAGGGAAATTGTTCTAACTTTCCAGGTAATCTTTGCTTCACGATCCCATTTGAGGCCAAAATTTACGTTGCTAAGTGAAACATTTGTTAAGTGAGTTTTGGGCCC